TCATAAGTAGACAGCTTCAGTTTTGCAAGATGAAGAGAGTTCTGTGGAAGTCTGGGCAGGGTGGCTTCCACCTGTAATCCCAGCACTTTGAGAAACTGAGGCAGATGGATCACCTGAGACCAGGAGTTCAAGACCAGCCTCACCAACATGGTGAAACCCCATCTCTACTGAAAATACAAAAATTAGCTGGGTGTGATGGTGCATACCTGTAATCCCAGCTACTTGGGATTCTGAGGCACAAGAATCACTTGAACCCGGGAGGTGGAGGCTGCAGTCTGCCAAGATGATGCCACTGCACTCCAGCCTCAACGACAAAGCAAGACTCCATCTGAAACAAACAAACAAAAAAAAAGTTCTGCGGATGGATGGTGATGATGCTTGCATAACAATGCGAATGTAGTTAATGTCATTGAACTGTACACTTAGAAATGGCTAACATGATGAATTTTATGTCATGTGTTACCACAACTTAATTTTTTTTTTTTTTTTTTTGAGACCGAGTTTTGCTCTTTCACCCAGGCTGGAGTGCAGTGGCACGATCTCAGCTTACTGCAACCTCAGCCTTTCGGTTTCAAGTGATTCTCCTGCCTCAGCCTCCCAAGTAGCTGCGATTACAGGTGCCTATCACCACGCCCAGCTAATTTTTGTATTTTTAGTAGAGATGGGGTTTCACCATGTTGGCCAGGCTGGTCTTGAACTCCTGACCTCATGATCCGCCCACCTCGGCCTCCCAAAGTGCTGGGATTACAGGCCTGAGTCACTGCACCTGGTCCTAAAATTTTTTTAATACAAAAAAATATATTAAATAAATTAAATTGAGAAATGAAATATGACCAAGGCCTTCCAAGTCCCTGGTAGACCCTTTGCCATTACATTTCCCACAGTAACCACCCTCCTGAATTTTGTGTTACTCATTCCCTTGCTTTTCTTGATAGTTTTAACCATATATGTACATAATAATGTATTATTTCGTCTCACATATTTTTATCTTTATATAAATAATATCATATATATCCTGTGACTTTTTTGCTAAATATTTTATTTTTGGAGTCATCTGGAATGATGCAAGTGGTTATAACATATCTTCATTTTAGCACTCTTCACATTGTGTTGTACTTATCTAAGTCAGGGTTTCTCAACTTTGGCACTACAGATATTGTAAGCCAGTTAATTCTTCATTTGGGGGAGCTGTCCTGAGCACTATAAGACGATTAGCAGCATCCCTGGCCTGTACCCACCAGATGTCAGTACTACCTCCTAGCTGTGACAACCAAAAATATCTCCAGATCTTGCCCGATGTCCCCATGGGGACAAAATCATCCCCAGTTGAAAATCACTGATCTGGCCAGGCATGGTGGCTCACACCTATAATCCCAGCACTTTGGGAATCCACGGCAGGCAGATCACTTGAGGTCAGGAATTTGAAACCAGCCACGGCCAACATGGTGAAACCCTGCCTCTACTAAAAATACAAAAATTAGCCAGGCATGGTGGCAGACACCCTGTAGTACCAGCTACTCAGGAGACTGAGGCATGAGTATTGGTTGAACCCGGGAGGCAGAGGTTGCAGTGAGCTGAGATCGCGCCACTGCACTCCGGCCTAGGTGACAGAGTGAGGCTCCATCTCACTCACACACAAAAAAGAAAATCACTGGTCTAATGGTATCTTTCTTGGGAACTGTAAGCCCCCTGAGCTTATCTCTGTGCCTTAGCACCTGAACTGTAAGCCCCCTGAAGGCAGCTCTGTGCCTCAGCACCTGGCATAGAGGAAGCATCCAGTGCTTTCATATCCTCAGTATACCACCACATGTGTTAGGGAAAAACTTTTAAAACACAACCCCCCCCTTTTTTAAAAAAAAAAGAAAAAGGGTCTCACCCTGTCACCCAGGTTGAAGTACAGTGGCGCAGTCATAGCTCAGTGCAACCTCAAACTCCTGGGCTGAAGGGATCCTCCCACCTCAGCCTCCCGAGTAGCCAGGACTACAGACACGTGCCACTATGCCCAGCTAATTTTTTTTTTTTTTTTTTTTTGGTAGAGACAGGGTCTTGCTTTGTTACCCAGGCTGGTCTTCAATTCCTGGGCTCAAGCCATCCTCCCGCCTCAGCCTCCCAAAGTGCTGGGATAGCAGGTATGAGCTCCTGCATCTAGCCCCCACCAGTCATTTATTACTTGGGTCTATCCTGAAGAGAATAAACTTCTCTAATTTATGTGAATCCTGTACACATGCTCTTACATGTCCCCCCACCCCATTTGGTTTATCCCTTTGTCTCCTTAACGATCCAGATGTTCTCCCTCTTTGTTGCTAAGTCTTATTGAGGAATTGAGGGGCCCTCCGGACCCCAGGGCTCCACCTATATATGGCTGCCCTAGTCATCAGAGTTGGTTTTATTCTTGCTTGAAATGAAGCCTGACTTCAGTGTCTCTGTTTATTTCAGATGACTTTGAAGAAGCCAAGGAAATTTTGACAAAGATGAGATACTTTTCAAATATAGAAGAAAAGATCAAGTTAAAGAAGATTCCCCTTTAACTGTTGATAGATTAAAGTTTAAAAAATAAAGTTCTTGCCAGGCGCAGTGGCTCACACCTGTAATCCCAGCACTTTGGGAGGCTGAGGTGGGTAGATCACGAGGTCAGGAGTTCAAGAGCAGCTTGGCCAACATAGTGAAACCCCATCTCTGCTAAAAATACAAAAATTAACCAGGCATGGTGGTGCGTGCCTGTAGTCCCAGCTACTCGGTAGGCCGAGGCAGGAGAATCACTTGAACCCTGGAGGTGGAGGTTGCAGTGGGCACAGACTGCCACTGCTCTCCAGCTTGGGCAACAGAGTGAGACTTCGTCTCAAAAAATAAGAAAATAAACAATATTGTGTATTTCTTTTCTGGCTTCTGGTAATTGGGAATAGATAAGCTTTAACCATTTATATCATCTTAATTAAGCCTGTGGCTCAAGCATTAATGGATGGCAAAGTTTGTCATGTGGGAAGAAACACAGCCTAGTCAGAGCTTTGGGTGGTCAGTTCTTCATCTGATACTTGACATTGCATGACCCCAATGTAGGCTAATGGATGAAGAGGTGGAGATGAGGCCAATTTGAGGCCCTACAAAGAGGAGTCCAAAAACTTTTTTCTGCGAAGGGCCTGGTAGTGAATATTTTCAGCTTTGTGGTCTATATCAAGGGTCCCCAATCTGTTAGGAACTAGATCACACAGCAGGAGTTGAGTGGCAGGTGAGCGAGCAAGCGAGCATTACCGCCTGAGCTTCGTCTCCTGTCAGATCCGCTTTGACCTTAGATTCTCAAAGGAATACGAACTGCGCATGTGAGGGTTCTAAGTTGCATGCTCCTTGTGAGAATCTAATGCCTGATGATCTGAGGTGGAATAGTTTCATCCCCAAACCATCCTCCGGCACCATCCGCATCCATGGAAAAACGGTCTTCCATGAAACCACTCCCTGGTGCCAAAAAGGCTGGGGACCCCTGGACTATATGGTCTTTGTTATAACTGCTATTGTGCCATTGTGACACAAACAGCATAGAGGGTATGAAAACAAATGGACAGGGCTGTGTGCTGGTCAGACTTTATTTACAAAGCAGGTGATGAGCCAGATTTGGCCATGGCTCTGCCAACCTCTGCCCAAGAGCCACAACTTTCTAATGGCATGACCCTCCTCCCTAAGATAGGTAGTCCCCTTTGGTACTGTGGCCTTGGCGCATTCTGTTTGCTAACAAGCAAGGCTGACTAAGAGTCTCTTTGGTCTAAATTTCAAACTAGATAATATTATAAAGAATTAATCTGGTATTAGGCCAGACATGGTGGCTCATGCCTGTAATCCCTGCACTTTGGGAGGCCAAGGCGGATAGATTACCTGAGGTCAGGAGTTCAAGACCAGCCTGGCCAACATGATGAAAACCCATCTCCACTAAAAATACAAAAAATTAGCCAGGCGTGGTGGTGCGTGCCTGTGATCCTGGCTACTTGGGAGGCTGAGGCAGGAGAATCACTTGAACCCGGGAGGCGGAGGTTGCAGTGAGCTGAGCTTGCACCACTGCACTCCAGCCTGGGCAACAAGAGCAAAAAACTCCATCTTAAAAAAAAAAAAAATTTATCTGGTATTAAGCACTAACCACATTTTCTGCTCCATCTTAGTGGAGTGGAGAATAGTTGTAATCACTCTCTGGACAGCTGACGCACTTGTCACTATTTCCATGCTCTTCTAATGCAGCCCAATGCAGCTCTACTTCCCCTTCTGTATCTTTGAAATTCAGTTTAAGTTCTTCATCCCTTTCCAGGAAAACAAACAAAAAGTCTCTGGATCAAGGAAGATTAAAATAGCAAACAAAATTCTGAATTAAAAAATTCCAAGGCCAGGCGCAGTGGCTCCTGCCTGTAATCCCAGCACTTTGGGAGACTGAGGCAGGGGGATCACCTGGGGTCAGGAGTTCAAGACCAGCCTGACCAACATGGAGACACCCCGTCTCTACTGAAAATACAAAAAAATTAGCCGGGTGTGGTGGTGCGTGCTGTATCCCAGCTACTCAGGAGGCTGAGGCAAGAGAATCGATTGAACCCGGGAGGCGGAGGTTGCAGTGAGCCGAGATTGTGCCACTGCACTCCAGCCTAGGTGACAGAGTGAGACTCTGTCTCACAAAAAAAAATTCCAAGAAACGACATTTTAAAACTCTGGAGATAATTGCCTGTCTGTAATTGGAAAAAAGTCAGGGGGTCTGATCCAAAGTTTAAATACTACTCCAAGAACTTAAAACTGTAGCTCCTTTGCAGTTTCTTTTTTCTTTTTTTTGAGACAGACTCTTGGCTCTTGTTACCCAGGTTGGTGTGCAATGGCGTGATCTCAGCTCACTGCAACCTCCACCTCCCGGGTTCAAGCGTTTCTCCTGCCTCAGCCTCCCAAGTAGCTTGGATTACAGGCAACTGCCACCATGCCTGGCCATTTTTTTGTATTTTAGTAGAGATGGAGGTTTCACCATGTTGGCCAGGCTGGTCTCGAACTCCTGACCTCAGGTGTTCCACCCGCCTCAGCCTCCCAAAGTGCTGGGATTACAGGCATGAGCCACCATCCCAGTCTCTTATCCTTGTCGAAAAATGTGTATCTTGTGAATCCCGAACCAGTTATACTCAGTTAACATTTTAGAATTCTTTGATCTTTAGAAGGCAAATTAACCACAGCAGCTGTCGGGCTTAATGATACTTGGGAACATCAGTACAATCTCCACCCCCTCACAGTATACAAGGAGAATGAATTACTTGTCTGAAAACACACCAGGAGTCCTTTAAGTAAATAATTATAATGCAAGCATATGTCCTTATTAAATTGGGTGCTTCTGCAAAAAAAAGGAGGAAATGAAAGGAGGGTTTGAAATACTTGTGCAGACAATCTTCATTCCTTCTTCAGAACAATGATCAAGACCAAAACAATCTGACCACAAAAATAAATCAGATCAACATTGCCACATCTTTGGAGGAACTTCAAAGAAACTTTCCTTTACCTGTTATCATCAGCTGGAAAAGCTGCAGGGCCTCCCAGCAAACCATGTCTGATTTGGGGAATAAATTAAAAAGACATTATTTCTGAGTCATGGCTTCTGAGGTGAGTGGGCTTACCTTTTTCTCCCACCTCTTCCAAATTCTTCCCCTTCTCATCTGAAGTTTAACTGGACTTCTAAATCCAGGAACCCTTTCAAGTGTTCCCTAACAAAGCCCTGTGGGAGGTATGCTAATAGACGGCTGAAAAGTTGGCAGCCCAATTTGGATTAAAGTTTCAGACCAACAATTGAAGCAAATGAAGCCCCTCCTGCCCCCGCCCCCAACACACACAGGCACACACACACACAGTTCCCAATATAGTGTCAGAACAAATCAGAGGTTTCAACTAATTTGTGACTATGTCTTCCCAGAGTTTGGTGTCAGACAGTGTTCGTGTTGTGAACTGAATAATTTTGTCCCCCAAAATTCATATGTTGCAGTTCTGGCGCCTCTAAGGAAGTAATTAAGATTCTACAAGCCAGGAAGAGAAACTGAAACTGACCATGCTGGTACCTTGAGCTTGGACTGCAGCCTCCAAAACTGTGAGAAAATAAATTGCTGTTATTTAAGCTACCTAATATCTGGGTTTGAGTCCCAGTTCCCCTACTTATATTTCATCTGTATTTTTTTTTTTTTTTCGAGATGGAGTCTCGCTCTGTCGCCCAGGCTGGAGTGCAGTAGTGCCATCTTGGTTCACTGCAACCTTCACCTCCCAGGTTCAAGCTATTCTCCTGCCTAAGCCTACCAAGTAGCTGGGATTACAGATGCCCGCCACTACACCTGGCTAATTTTTTTTTTTTTCTTGTATTTTTAGTAGAGACGGGATTTCACCATGTTGGCTAGGCTGGTCTCGATCTCCTGACCTCGTGATCCACCCACCTCAGCCTCCCAAAGTACTGGGATTACAGGCATGAGCCACCGCGCCTGGCCATCGTCATCTGTATTTTGTTTGTTTATTTGTTTGTTTGTTTGTTTTTGAGAAAGGGTCTCTGTTATCCAGGCTGGAGTGCAGTGGTACAATCTTAGCTCACTGCATCCTTGACCTCCCAGGCTCAATCAATCCTCCCACCTCAACCTCCCAAGTAGCTGGAACCACAGATGGGCACCACCATGCCTGGCTAATTTTTTAATTTTTTGTAGAGATGGGGTCTCTCTACATTGCCCAGGCTGGTCTCGAACTCCTGGGCTCAAGCTATCTACCCACCTTGGCCTCCCATAATGCTGGGAATACAGGGGTGAGCCACCATGCCCAGCATCCTCATCTTATTTACGTATTTATTTATTTAAGACAAGGTCTGGCTCTGTTGCCCAATCTGGAGTGCAGTGGCATGATCTCGGCTCACTGCAACCTCCACTTCCCGGGCTCAAGCCATTCTTCTGCCTCAGCCTCCCAAGTAGCTGGAACTACAGGCATGCACCACCATGCTCGGCTAATTTTTGTATGTTTCGTAGAGACAGGGTTTTGCCATGTTGCCCAGGCTGGTCTCTAGTGATGTGCCCACCTCAGTGGCCTCTCAAAATTTTGGGATTACAGGCATGAGCCACTGTGCCCGGACAAGGCCTCCTTATCTTTAAAAGGGTAATAATAGTACCTATCTCACAGTGTCATTGTGAAGATTAAGTGAAATAAATTATCCATGCAAATTGCTTAGCATGGAGCATGGCACATGGAACTCAGAGATAATTCTTCTTTTACTTTCAATTATAATTACTACTTTTATTATTTTTACTTGGGAAACAAAATCATGCCTTTCATTGCGCCGTAAATACATTCTTCCAACAAAATTCCAAGCACCTACTTTGAGTAAGAAACCACTTAGCCCTGAGAGAGAGAGAACAGTCAGATGCTTCCTGTATATTTGGGGAAATCACTTTTCACCAAAAACAAAACAATAATAAAAGTTCTTGGCTGGGCCGGGTACGGTGGCTCACGCCTGTAATCCCAGAACTTTGGGAGGCAGAAGTGGGTGGATCACTTGAGGTCAGGAGTTCGAGACCAGCTTGGCCAACATGGTGAAACCCGGTGTCTGCTAAAAATACAACAATTAGCCAGGCGTGGTGGTGTGCGCCTGTAATCCCAGCTACTCGGGAGGCTGAGGCAGAAGAATCACTTGAACTTGGGAGGTGGAGGTTGCAGTGAGCTGAGATCATGCCACTCAACTCTAACCTGGGCAACAGAGTAAGACTCCATTTAAAAAAAAAAAGATTCTGGACTGGGTATGATAGCTCACACCTGTAATCCCGGTACTTTGGGAGACCAAGTGGGAGGATCACTTGAGCCCAGGAGTTCAAGACCAGTCTGGGCAACATAGTGAGACCCCATCTCTACAAAAAATTTTAAAACTTAACCAAGTGTGTTGGCAGCCTGTGGTCCCAGCTACTGAAGTGGGAAGATTGCTTGAGCCCAGGAGTTTGAGGCTGCAGTGTGCTATGTACATGCCACTGTACTCCAGCCTGGGCAACAGAGCAAGACCCTGCCTGAAAAAAAACCAAAGTTCCCATTTGCTGCATAGTTACCATATGCCAGGGAATATGTGTAGTATTTCGCCTGATTCCATCAAAATAAGCCGAATTTGACTTATTTTACTGATGAAGAAACACAATTCAAGAAGGTAAGAGTTAGCCAGGTGAGGTGGCTCATGCCTGTAATACCAGCACTTTGGGAAGCTGTGGCAGGTGGATCACTTGAGGCCAGGAGTTAGAGACAAGCCTGGGCAACATAGCAAGACCCCATGTCAAGTTTTGTTTCTTTTTTTTTTTTTTTTTTTTTTTTTTTGAGATAGTCTCGCTCTGTTGCCCAGGCTGGAGTGCAATGGCATGATCTAAGTGCACTGCAGCCCCTGCCTCCCAGGTTCAAGCAATTCTCCTGCCTCAGTCTCCCAAGTAGCTGGGATTATAGGCACTCACCACCACGCCCAGCTAATTTTTGTATTTTTAGTAGAGATGGGGTTTCTCCATGTTGCACAGGCTGGTCTCGAACACCTGGTCTCAAGCCATCCGCCTGCCTCAGCCTCCCAAAGTGCTGGAATTACAGGTGTTAGCCACCATGCCCAGCCACGTCTCAATATTTTTTTTAATGTAACAAAAATAGAAAAACAAGAGTAAGAGTATTTAAACCCATCTATCTGCAAAGCCTGTGCTCTTAAAGGGCTGAACTCACCAAGATTAAGTACCAGACAATGGGGTTAAGCAATTCATAATGAGAGGTGCCATTTACCAGGGTCCATGCCATGCCACAGAGAGGTACGATTTGTTAGGAGTCCCTATTTCCAAAGCCTGTGCATACAGCCTCACTGGTTCTAGGGAGGGATCATTTCCAGCTGTGGTAACTGAAGAAGGGAAGAGGAGGAATAAAATCCAGACAAGCAGAAAGAAACTACGTCAGGTGTCCTTCAAACCACCCGAGTTCTGATGATTTGCCAGGAGATCTCACAGGATTCAGTATATGGTCCTACTCATGGCTATAACTTATTATAACAAAAGTATACAAAATGAAATCAACACAAGGAAAAGGCTCCTGGCACAAAGTCTGATAGAAATCGGATGCAAGCTTCCAAGGGTCTTCTTCCAGTGGAGTCACATCAGAAGCACATAATTCCCCCAGCAACAAGTTGTGACAACACATGTGAAAATGTTGTCTGTAAGGAAGCATAGATAGACGCAATACCAAGGGGTTGGCCGGGCACGGTGGCTCACACCTGTAATCCCAGCCTTTAGGAGGCTGAGGAGTGCAGATCGCTTGAGGTGATAACTTCTGACAACCCCCACCCCTCATGGATCATTGCCATGAACAGTTTGGTATCATGTGTTTCTTTCAGAGGGGATAAAGCCTAGTACTCTGGTATTATTTACCTAACTCACTTGCTAAGATTGTTTCTTTTTTTCAGATGGAGTCTTGCTCCATCACCCAGGTTGCAGTACAGTGGCACAAACTGAGCGCACTGCAACCTCTGCCTCCTGGGTTCAAGTGATTCTCCTGCCTCAGCCTCCTAAGTAGCTGGGACTACAGGCATGCGCCACCATGCCCAACTTATTTTTGTATTTTTTGATACAGACAGGGTTTCACTATGTTGGCCAGACTGGTCTTATACTCCTGACCTAAGGTGATCTGCCCGCCTCAGCTTCCCAAAGTGCTGGGATTACAGGCATGAGCCAACGTGCCTGGCCGCTAAGTTTGTTTCTTAAGTTCTACCAATTAATAACTATTATGTAGGCAAATTACTCATTCCCCTCCCGCCGGCCCCAGCTTTTTTTTTTTTTTTTTTTTTTTTTTTGAGACAAGGTCTTGCTCTGTTGCTCAAGCTGGAGTGCAGTGTTGCAGTCACAGCTCACTGCAGCCTCAACTGCCCAGGATAGTCATAATGGAGTTTCCTTCTGGATGGTATTAAGTGATTTTTATTTGCTTTTCTGTACTTTTATCAGCCCCACCACTAACTAAGAAGCTGTGTTCATTTTATAACCAGAAAACATTGTTTAAAAAAAAGGTAGGGGGGAACAGTTGAGATTAACCACCAAGGAAAAAGTAGTCATGAAAGGATTGTCTAAGTGTCTGTATGTCTCTGACCCACCAACCCTATGAGAGGTGCACTGGAAGTAACATCAAAGAGGCAGGGTTGGACAGTCACTAAGAAAAAGATGGGTCCAGGTGCAGTGGCTCATACCTGTAATCCCAGCACTTTGGAAGGCCAAGGCAGGTAGATCACTTGAGGTCAGGAGTTTAAGACCAGCCTGGCCAATATGACAAAACCCTGTCTCTACTAAAAATACAAAAATTTGGCCAGGTGCAGTGGCTTATGCCTGTAATCCCAGCACTTAAAGAGGCCGAGGCAAGTGGATCACTTGAGGTCAGAAGTTCGAGACCAACCTGAGCAACATGGTGAAACCCCATCTCTCCTAAAAAGACAAAAAATTAGCCAGCTGTGGTGGCACATGCCTGTAATCCCAGCTACTCGGGAGGCTGAGGCAGGAGAATCACTTGAATCCGGGAAGCGGAGGTTGCAGTGAGCTGAGATTGGGCCATTGCACTCCAGCCTGGGCTACAAGAGTGAAATTCGTCTCAAAAAAAAAAAAAAAATTGGCCAGGCATGGTGGTGTACACCTGCAGTCCCAGCTACTCAGGAGGCTGACGCAAGAGAATTGCTTCAAACCGGGAGGTGGAGGTTGCAGTGAGCACCACTGCACTCCAGCCTGGGTGACAGAGTGAGACTCTGTCTCAAAAAAAGAAAAAATAAAAATAAGAGGAGGGGCTCTTAGGGGCCACTGTCAAATTCTGTAGCTGCTCTCCCCAGGGTGATGGAGGAGACAACTAACTACAATCCTCTGACTTATGCTTCTGGGGTCTTAAGCTCCAAGGTCTCAGACACACTGTAGTGAGGCTTTCAGATTGATTCCCCAAAGCCCTTTCTTTCACAGAATTCAGTGAGATGAGCAGACCCTACAAGTTTAGGGCAGGATCTAGGGTCTCAGATCTGAGGCTGGGCACTGGCTGGTTCACATATAGCTGAGGGAATTGGGGACCATAACTTGCCTCAATTTCCTTATCTGTAAAATGGGAGTAGGAAAATCATCCAATT